GCTGGATCTTTTTGATCGTATCTTGGACAGCTTGTGCCTCCTGAATGAAAAGTAGTTGTTCCCTTTTCCTTCCTTGGTGTTTTTGGTAGAATTTAGGAAGCTGTCCTTGGACAACTGTTGTGCCTCTTTGCCTATATAAAAGACGGATGTCAAAAAGATTTGCCTTCTTAAAACTGAAACAAACAGGGTGGTGTATCAGCCCTTTCAAAGTTAACAAGAGTTTAGCCACGGACTTCCATGGGGCCAGGATTTAACCCAAGGAATAAATGAGCCATTTATAGCTTAGGATTCTCTCCAGGAATTTCTGTTTAGGATTGCCTTTTTACTTGTGGTGCACTATTCTCTGCTTTTTTCAGGGCTGCTCCTCACACAGGGCATTGCACAGTCAAATAAAGCTGCTCTTCTTCATGTCACTATTTCAAAATTCACTTGTCTTTGCTGGAGACACACCCTAAACATGCCATGCAGTCCTAAAATGTTTCTCAGAAAGATTTTGCATACAATCTGGAATTTAAAAAAAAAAAAAAGAGACAGTCTAAGTAAGCAGCAGCATGGGTTTGAAGGTTTTGCCAAAACACTTGACATCCAGTGCCTCAATAGCTGGAGAGAGAAAAGTGCACTTCCAGAAAACATAGAAATTTTCTGTCTGATCATACCATCTCCTCAAAACTTAATCAATCTCTTGTAACTTAAAACACTTACTGTTCTTCAGATATTCTCTCAATATCCCAAGAAAGGTGTAATAGCGAAGATGGGCAGCCCAGTTACTTAAAATGCCTAAGTAACTGAAGATGTACGTCTCCTCTGTCAATTTCTGCACTGTTCATGGCATCTTTTAATCTACATAGCTCCCTGTGTAGTCTTACCTTCACAGTCTTGTCTGTGGCAGTGTGCAAGAAAATTACCTGCTGTTCAGATAGATAGACTGCTGTTCCCCTATGTTCAGGTGTTTCCTAACGACTTAACGCATATCTGCGATCAAAGAAAGGACCAGAGCAGAGAAGCCAGACGTTCTGATGGAGCTGTAGAAGTATCACAAACCTTGGAGGTTTGCTTTTGACTCGTGAGACTTCCAGTGCTTTAACAGTAACAGGCAAACCCACCTGTACCACTCAGAAACATTGATTTCTGTCTGAAAAAGAAAATTAAGAGAACATGAAAGGCAACAGACTTTTTTGAATTTCTGCACAAAGTATTTTAAATGTGAATGCATTAGCCTCCTCTTGAAAGAGACATTAAACTTCCAAACACAGAAGGCATAAATAAGCAACAATCAAATGTTTTATATCATGATAGACTCTCAATGCCTCACGTCATACAGTTCACAGTCCAGAAACAGAGTCTTCCAGGACTATTCTTCAAACAGCTTTTTTGCACAAGGGTGCCACAAAATGCTTCTTTAATCTTTGTTGTTGTTGTTGTTCTGAATAACAAATTATTTTCTTTGAGATAGACCAAATTACATCTGCCTTGCCCTCCATGCAGCTTACAAGGTTATGGTACTTCCCAAGCTATCCACGGATACTCCAGATATCAATCTTGAAGCCTATTCAAAACAAGGATGGGGAGTCAGGGCTTTCTCTGCCAACATTCTTGGTGAATAATCACAACACTCCATTATCTGTCGGGGAGTCCTCTCTTCCAGTGTTCCCTCACAAAGCTGTACCGCCTATTGGGAGCTCACAAGAGAGGGCCGAGAGACACCACAGGAAGCATGTACTGAAAGACCATACAGATTGCAACACTATCACTTACCCCTTTAATGCTGTCTTCTGCCATAAAGAGAGGGTCAGTCACAAAAGGCTGCCTTTGTCACTAAATAATCACAGCGCTGGTGCCTTCCCTAAGGCTTTTCTCAACCTGTAAGTGCATAGGGCACAACAGGAGCACAGTGAACAAAAATGCTGAGCAGCATGAGCCCGACCATCCTGTCTACACTGATTTCTAATGGGAAGGACACAGTGAAGCTGTCTGTTAAGTTTATACTTGGAAACTTGACAACAACCTCCCTGGATTAACATACTCTGGACCACACTTTTCCAAATTAACACCATTGTCTCCAAGCCCTTTGGACTTTAATATTTGCCATATACATAATATTTGGACTTGCATATTTGACAATCACTTGTTTGCATGGAATCCTTTTGAAGTCTTTACATGGACAAAAGAGTTTTGACATTAAAGGGGTAGAATGGAAGGTGGAGAGATGGTGGGCTGGACACATTGCTCTGGCTCCCTTGGTCTGTTCTGCTCTTTGTGAATTTTTGAGGGGAAATAGGTGGTGGTTGTTCCCTGAGAGAGGGAGGTTCAAGGCAGTGAGGGTGTGAACGGCATTGGCTGGCACTGGCTATAAACACACCGCTCTCACTGGTTTCCAGTGTACATTTTCAGCACAGTTTGAGAGATCGGAATTTCCAGATGATGTGCTCAGTGTATGTGGTGGGGGTGGAGGGCAGAAAGGGTCCTTCTTTTTCATGTTCACTTCTGGCTGTCAGTCAAACACAGCAATAAAATCAGCTCCAATTAAGAGGATATGCAAGGAATTTCATGATAATGTCAACACTCCATTCCATCAATACAGGGGTAAAGAAAATAAGCTAATTTTTTTTTTTTTTAAAGAAATAACCTTAGTCACACTCGACTGTGGTATCACCAGATAACAGTTAATCACAAAGGTACATGAAGCAGTTGACAATTCCTTCATTATCCTGTGGGGCTTTTGCTTTGTTTTTTCTGTGGGGGCCCTGGTTTCTGTTTCATTTGCTTTCTGATTACTCCAGTGCTGACCTAACTTTCTCCAGCATACTGCCTTCAGTTCTCTAAGAGGTTCAGCTTCTCATCCATTAACCCCTTACTGCAGGGAATCACATTCACCTGACCTTAGAAACAGAAAACAGCTAGAGAGAACAGAGTACTATGTGGAGAAAAAAGTCCAGCTCTGGACTCACTCCCATCTCACTTCACATCTAACTTTCTGTGTGACCTTAAAACATGTCCCAGTTAAAAGAAAGCACTTATCAAGGTTCTCAAGCTTCTCAAGATTCAATAGATACTTTTAATCCTGTGTTTTACCATGTAGGGGCCTAAATCTACCTGTGATTACTTCCTTAGCTGCAAAATGGGCATAGTTACACTGCAACAGTATAAAACCTGATCTATTTTGGATTCATTGATCCAGGGAGGGGAGAATTACGAGGGAGCACAGCTGCCTCTCCAACTGTACTGATGTGGAAGCACGTCAAATATGTAGCTGGCAGAGTGCTACTCCATTTAAACTACCCTCATGTTCCTTGGCAAGGTCTGCAGTTTGCGGCTGCACCAGCCACAGGGCTGCATTCTGCTCCAGCTGACCCCACAATCTACAAAGACATTTTGGAGGTGCTTTTGACTTCCTCAACCCATATGAAGATTATCTGTGGTGCAGCTGAGGGTCAGCTCTGGGATGGTGCTTTTGTAACTTCTTGCCCTACTTGGTATTCTGCTATGTGCTGTTAATCCTGCAGAAAAGGCTGATGATTTCATCAGAGTTTGACATATTCTGGATCATGATTTCATGGTCAAATTACTTAAGCCTTTGGGCACTGGAAACTCTGTTCTGAGGAGAACAAATGCCCTCCTACAAACAGGTTGGCTAGGAGTTTAGTAACTATAAGTAGTAAGAGTGAAATAAATTCTAAAAGCAGTGATCATCTGGAGTAACTAACACCTGGACTATATAAAGAAGTGTGATAGCAGTTATTACTAATGAATAGTAATAAGCTTAATACATGCTTAATACACACTCAGATATCAGATCTATTTTTTTTCCACTAAAAATTATATAACTAAACCTCTTAATAATAATAGCTAAAACCTTGTGAGCATACCACTAGTTTGCATGGAAGTAATTCTAGTTACACCAATTTCAGATTTTTAAATCAGTTCTCCTAAAGCACTCCAAAAGAAAGCCCCAAGCCATATTAGCATGGGTACAAACACTTTGTGCTTTGCCTTATTCCTTCTCAATTTCTAGAAAAAAACCTGGAAAGCTTTCCACTGCTGATGAGAATCTATTTGGATGGAAGAACCTGCTGGATTATTTAAAGCTCTGTTCCAGTGATAGCCAACATTGGCTGTTAAAGTCAACTGTATGACTAAATTCCCTGTAAAATGTGTCTCCATTTCCTTTCAGGTTGGGAAGCTGATCCAAGAAGCAGCTGGAAGGAGTAATTTGAAGAGAGTTACACTGGAGCTGGGTGGGAAAAGCCCAAACATTATTTTTGCAGATGCTGATTGTAAGTCAGCACTTCTATATTTTTCTTAAAAACATGTTTTTGTGGTGTCTTTTTTTTTTTCATTTTAGGGCATATCTTTCATACAAAGTGAAATGGACCAATATAGCTGTGCCTAATTGCACTTTTTAATCTTACAGAAGCAGCCTAAGTGTGATTTTTTTTCTAAAAAGACAACATTTGAACCCATCGATTCATAGACCATAGGAAAATAGAAAAAAAGTTATAACCAAGCATATAGAAACAGTGTTATTCACAGTCATGGTCCCATACATATTTGACATCCTGAAATTCTGCAGCAAGGTATTTTAGTGCTTTAAATCTGGAAATTCTGTGATTTTTTTGCTTTGCAGCAATTATAAAAAGGGAGGGCTTTAACTTACACTTGAGTTGCTAATCTAGTCAGTGCAGTATTCCTTTGTTAAGCTGTTTTGATAGTAGCTATAAATGGAGATTTTTCCCATTTTTTAAATTTTTGCAATTGAAGAATTGTGTATTGAAATATTGCCACTATCAGCAGGGAGCTGAAAATTTTGGCAGTTGGATGATGTTGTGCAGCTGAGATTTCTGGCACCTGAGAAGGTATAGGACAGCTGTTTAGGGTAGGATAAAAACACAAACTGGAGATTTCTGCTTAAATGATCAGCAATGAAATAATTAAAAATGTTGATATCTAAATTGTCAGCAGGAGGTTTTGAAGTTAACACCCCATTAAGATGAATGGGACAGTTCACACCTTGCTTTGAGCTATTGTTTCAGGCTGTGTGCAGGCCTTTGTAACCCAAATAAACAGACATATAAGGATTTGGTCTTTTAATTTAAAAGGGAAAACTGAAGAATGACTCTGAATAGCATGAATTACAAGAGTTGGTTACAATCCTGTATTTGTTTTCAAAACTTACCAATGTCTGAAAGACTAGGGAAGGCTTGAGAACTTTCAGCAGCTTTTCTACCTAGAAATGTTTTACCAAGTTGGGGTCTAAATTACAGCCACAGTCATCCTGGTAAGCTAAAAAGGCTCCTGTCAGCTGGAAGAGATGCAGATCCAGATGTTACAGCCTTCTACCCCAGTTACTCCTTTCCATCCTCCACCAGAAATCACTACATCTCAAGTGTCCTTAACCTACTAACTCAGACTGGATCACCTGAACACTTCTAGTAGAGTAATAGATGCTGGGGGCAGGTCTGTGTTATGGCCTTCCACAGGGGAAGGACAAATGCTCCTAGTTGCCACGCAGAGCTGCAGTTTATCTGTGACTTGCTCCATCTGCCAAGTAAGGTTGAGGACCTGGGAAGAAGTTGCAGGCAACAGGGGAGTAACAGGGCACAGAGGAGAGCACAGTCTTCTTCAGGACTGTCTGTTCCACAGCGTATCATACTAAAGCTCTCTGGTTTTCCCATAATTACATGTTGCTGGCGTATAAGACATCGGTGAAGTTGTTTTTGCATACCCTACTCCTATAGACTGCTAAAGCACTGTCTTGATTTTATTTTTGCAGTGGGATATTGAGCAATATTTTGTGGCTTGTGTCATGAGATGGCATGTGGAATGTATTACCTATGGACCCGTCTTTACATAGACGATGCCTGATGTCCCAAGTGGTCCCTTGCAATCTAGTGTTTCTGAAACGGTTATAATGCTCCTAATATCCCTCCAGTATAGCTATATCCAGGGTGGAATAAATGGGGGAAAAATCAACTTTAGACATGTTTAAAAACTCCTTATTTTCACAGGGATCATGACATAAAATGAAATTGATCATTCTCATTTATGACCCGACACAAGAATAGTATGTTTTTATTTGGTCACTGTTTTGTTTTTTTTTAACCAAATCCTAATTCTGCTTTGAAGTTTTGGGAATGTGGCACTATGTAATACACATGACACTGGTAGAATAGCAGATGTGTCCATGATGTTTCAGAGCAACATATGTTGTCTTGGTTTTTTAGTGGACTATGCTGTGGAACAAGCTCACCAAGGGGTCTTCTTCAATCAAGGTCAATGCTGCACTGCAGGCTCACGGATTTATGTGGAAGAATCAATCTATGAAGAGTTTGTTAGAAGAAGCGTAGAACGTGCAAAGAGGAGAGTTGTGGGGAGTCCTTTTGACCCAACTACGGAACAAGGTCCACAGGTAAAGGAATAGTGCTTCGGCTCTGCAGCCTAGGAGGTGCCTGGAAGCATTTAAACTCTACTAAGACAGAGATCAGTCAGTGCATACTTACTCACAGTCCAGGGTAGCTGACATGATGAACATTTTAAAATATTAAAATTCTAAAGGAGTAGATAATCTGTGCAGCTCAGAGGTGTTTCTTGTTAAGTAAAACTCTCATCTTAAATATCAGTAAGTTTGTCTCCCAGCTTTAACAGCAAGATTCTGATCTTCAGCCCCCAAGATATAGCTGTAAACTGTGAGAAGCTCTCAAAAGTCTCTGTGGGCACTTACTTTCAAGAATTGTCTACAATCAGAATTGTGCTTGTAGACCACTAGAGACACAGGAATTCTAAGTAAAAGATAGGCAGAATTAGAAGTAGGTCTTTAGAAAATGTTCCTGCCACTAATAACCAGCTGTGCTTATACCATTTTCAGGAAGTTAACCTGCGACAAGAAATAATTATCTGCTTTGTTTGTGCTTATAAACCAGATTGCTCAGCAAGACTGTAGGTTGAGCCACATACATAAGGGGACACATCCTTAAGAAGACTGAGCCCTAGGTTACAGTCAGCTGCTATTTGTAGATCTCTGGCACCTCCAGCTCAAAGACTAGTAAATATAAGCATGAGTTTGCTTGCAGGGACATGACTTGCTTAAAAAACCAATTTTGACTCGATTGTCAAGTGCACGGCCTGCAAGTCAAACAGTTTCTTCTCTCTTTCAGATTGATAAAAAACAATACAACAAGATCTTGGAACTGATTCAAAGTGGCATTACTGAAGGAGCAAAACTTGAATGTGGGGGTAAAGGGCTAGGAAGAAAGGGCTTCTTCATTGAACCTACGGTGTTTTCCAATGTAACAGATGACATGCGGATTGCCAAGGAGGAGGTATTCACACGCATGGGCAAGATAATTTTAGACTGTCCTAAATGTGATTTTTTTTTCTTTTGTTTACTTCTTGAGACAATAGCTTTAGAGTGAAAATTACCACCATATTAAAAAAAAAAAAGTAAGTAAAACCTTTTCAGAACTCCTTATGCACACAGCAACTGATGATTTGTGGGTTTAGCAGGCATGGTGGCATCGGGTGTACGATTGGACTTGACGATCTTTGAGGTCTCTTCCAACCATAATGATTCTATGATATCGGTTGAGTAAAGAAGCTCAATTTTTGCCATTGGCTGTAAAGTCTCAGACCTCAAAGAAGAGATAGGGAAGAATGGATGAGTTCCACTGAGGCAACTGCTTTGGGAAATTCATGCAGTTTTACAGACAGCTATTATCACTATTAAATGTTGCTGTGGGAATTTGTAAAGAGTACAACAGGAGAGAGAAGACAATTAAAAAAGCAGAATAAAACAGGAATAAAATGCCTCTGAGTGGGCTGGTTTATTAATGAATGATTAATCTTTGTTGCAGATTTTTGGTCCTGTTCAAGAAATACTGAGATTTAAAACCATGGATGAAGTTATAGAGAGAGCCAACAATTCTGATTTTGGGCTGGTGGCTGCTGTCTTTACAAATGACATAAACAAGGCCCTGACAGTCTCTTCAGCAATGCAGGCTGGGACAGTCTGGTAAGGCAGAAGTTATCACACTCCTGCTCTTGGAGATAAAGAGTTTGACTCACTATCATTATAGCACCTCAGTTTTGCACCCTTTGTCCGAACAATGTTTATTTAGGCGATCCTGGTGGTGAATCACTAACCAAGACATGGAACAGCTGTAGGGAGGTGTGACTCTGCTCACTGCAGGTGAATGCTATTGAAAACTGGAAAGCTCCTTGTTTGCCATTAGCATGGCAGCCACACTTGCTGAATGGCATTATTGAAAACAAACAAAGCAGAGTATAAATGGTCTTTTCTGTGGAGTGAAGAAAACCTGTGAGGTTTCTGCTAAAGGCACAAGGAATCATGTAGCTTCCACAACATTAAGGAACTGAGGGGACACCTCTTCTCTCTAGTCCTTTAGGAACAGGTAACGCCACTTCTGGAGTTTAAGAGCTTGCAATTTGGTATATCAAGCCTGTGTAAACTAAAGATCTGCAAGAAATCAGGGAGAAAAAGGACAAATTCAAATCTAATAGTTTTGTGTTATAAACTGGCACTGAGGTTTGTCAGCAAATTAACAGGTCATTGCTGAACCTGTGTTCAGTGCCCTCCTCCAGTCCTCACAGGCCAAACCCTATTCTCCGTATGACTAAGGAGCAGAATGTTGGTTTTGTGGCATAAATCCCTCATTTATTTTCAACATGAGAAGTTTGTTATTACTAATAACTATACAGTGTCCTTCGCTCCACAAGTTTCACCCTCTCCCTGAGCTGTCCAAAGGCCTCACAGCACAGTTGGACTTAATGCGTCTTCCTGTTACAGGATTAATTGCTACAACGCCTTAAATGCCCAAAGTCCTTTTGGAGGATTCAAAATGTCTGGCAATGGGAGAGAGATGTAAGTATTGCACTGCTGTCTGCTAAACTGTTTTCAGCTCTACAAACTAGTAGACATTAGTGAATCCTTCCATGCAAATTAAGATCAGGAGATATTCCCATCTGAGGATCAGGGCATAATATAAGATGACTGATAATCATTGCCAGTTCTGAATGCAATTGATTTACATAGTAACACCATTTTATTTCCTTTTTTTTTTTTAAATAGCAGAGTAAGTTACTGTAACTCCCTTCTTATTCTGAAGGAACTGAAAAATTCTGACTGTTTTTCTGAACTTGTAACCTGTGTTTTCTAAGAGTTTTTCTTAGCCATACGAACCAGCACTTTTGCAGAACGATTCTCTTTTTGGTACTGCTGTGTGCTTGTTGACTGGTTTGGTGTATTTGTTTCAGAGTTGTTTTGCCATATATTTTGCCTCTCTTGCTATTTTTTCCTTTCTTCACTTTTTCCCTACGTTTATTAATATAGGTGCATCTGAATTTTATTAAAATGTTATCTATCTCTTCCAGATTTATAAACAATGTTAAATGAAATCAGGCCTAGAGAAGGATAGACAAATGTATTTACATCCCTTTCAAAAAATTACCTTCCATTACAAAGCTTTCTGTCTTTTCTTATTCCATTTAGAACTAAGTGCCAAACATTTTGAAATGGAGCTCCACACTCAAATACTGTCCCATGTACCTAATTTAAAGTCTTACCAGTTTTTAATTCTCATTATAATCACAAGGAAGTTTAGCGATTGCATCAGCCCCAGATTGGTTACGCATACAAAGGACTCAATTAATTTCTGTGCAGGAGGCATGTATACCAGATATGTCTCACCTAAGCTTTCAAAATAGCTTATGGCTAATGGCAAACTCAGCAGTAAAACTAAAGTAAGGTCAAACTCTTTAAAACTTTAAATATGTTGAAGTATACAACTTGATCTATAAAATAAGCTCTATGTAGTCTGAAATATTTTCCCTCATTAGGGAGTACTTTGAGTAACACATTCATACTATTCTCCACATTCATGAGTTATGAGGTGATCTCACACTGGCATAAATATGTCAGCTCATCTAACTCTTATCACTGTGAAAATATTCTAAAACTACTAAGCTCGATAGAGCACATGAGTAACTTGACACCCAAGAGTGACCCCATTGACTTCAGGGAGGTTAACTGTGCAAGCGAAATATTCACATATTGATATCATAGAGTTTTTGAAAGGGAGGGGGGAAACAGGCAGCACCCCAGCTTCCATGGAAAAATCTACAGTAGTTGTACACTTGATTCCCATCTACAGCTTTAAAAATATTAATCATAAAAAATAAATGTTTGAATGGCAATAATCTCTATCTCACAATGATGCCTGAAAACCTACTTATGAGTAATTATTCTACTCCTTTCAGAACCTCTTTGATCAGATATCATCTTCTAATTCACCTCCTCCCTCCTACATTAATATCTGCATACTTTTTATTAAAATGCCACGGTTTCTTAGATCCCTGTTTTTAAGGGATACATTTTATAGCATAAATAATGTTGTCAGGCAATTAAAGAACAAAAAAAAAAAAAGAAGAGAAAGTGTCCATACATATGTGTGTCATTGCTAAGCTAATACTATGTTACACTGAGATCATAACTGTGCCACTGTGTTGTCTGTGCTAGCACTGTATTACCTGGGACTTGTTTTATTCCTGCT